GCAGAATGAAACGTGGGCACCAGAAGCCACAGGCACTCAGCAGTGTCTGGCACTGGCTCTGGGACGCCCGGGGCCGGCTTCGCAAGCACAGCATGCCCGGCGCGGGGGAGGCCGAGGACACATCGCCCCCGACCTCCTCCATCCGTTCCTGTCCCGGTGCGTATTACAGGTGGTGGGTTGTTAGGGAGATGGAAGGAGGTGGCCCGGAAGGGGATGGTGAGTCAGTTAGTGGATTCATTCTTCCACGTCTCGTCTGAGCTCAGCAAGGAGAAAGGCCGTAGACTCTCCGAGCACCTCTCCGGCCAGCCCGGTGTCTGTCCTGCCCCTACCTCTGGTGCTGACCTAGACGCTGCCCCCAGGAAACTCCTAACTGCTCCGACCCTTGCCTCCTGCCCTGCCCTGCATCCTCTGACCAGCCCGCACGTTCCAAAACACAAATCTCATTGGCACACGCTTCAGCAGTATTCTTTGCTCGAAGGAGAAAAAGCAAAATCTTTAACACGGACCACAGGGCCCGGCGAGGTCTGGTCTCAGGCACAGCCCCGCTGTTGCCCCCACCCTCACCCAGCCTGTCTCCTCTCGTGGCCTCACACCTGCCCGCCCCCACCTGCCACTGGGCTTTGGCACCGGACGTTCGTGCTGCCCGCCTGGAACAGCCCTACCCCCTGCCCCTCCTCTCTGCCTCACGAGCCTGTGAACATCATCCATGTCTCAACGGGCAGGACTCACGTCTACAGCCTTCCCTGCGGCCCTCAGACAAGATCGGACCCTCCCCTTAGGCTCTTAGCCTAAGAGGGAAAAATAAACATTCCTTTATTTCTCATCCACATTTGGAACCAGTTGAGACATAGAGCAGCCGGGGAGATCCGCACATGGGCTTTGTAGCCGACGGAGCCACGTTGGAGGGCTGAGATCAGTCCTGCGGCCGTGAACCCTCGCTCCTGCCTTCCTCCCCAGCCACACACATGGCCCCAGACACAAGCCTCCTCCGTGGGGACAACCGGAAACACGGCAAGAGCGGAGGAGCAGGGAGACCCAGATCTGGGGTGGGAGTGCTGGAATGTGTACATTTTGGGGAGAAGAGCTTAATAAAAAGCAAATCAAACTACAAAGGGATAAGAGTGAATAAATATTCAGAATGAGGGAGGAGATGAGGACGAGTGATGTTTTTTTTTTAAGTCTGATGAATTCCACAAAAGTCACAAATCCAAAAATAAAATAATTTTTTAAATCAGTGGATTGCCTAATCCACCTCTGTAATACCTCGTTCTAGTATTTCTCCACTCAAAATTCGACACATATGACAGCTGGGAGACATTCTGTGGACCAGCGTCTGGCTCTGGGCACCTCCGTGCCTCCCCTTGGGCCACAGGCTTCTGGTGTCGGGTGCCACGGGACTCATGCGCTCTGTGTCGTGATGCAGGAAAGGTGGCACAGGGCTGGCTGTTTGTGCCTGGGCTGGCCAACACACAGAAACATCCCCACTGAGAGATGAACCATGACTCTGAAAAGCAAAGTGAGGGTTCTAGAGAGGAGGGGGTGGGGGGATGTGTTAGCCTGGTGATGGGTATTAAAGAGGGCACGTTCTGCATGGAGCACGGGGTGTTATGCACAATGAATCATGGAACACTACATCAAAAACTAATGATGTAATGTATGGTGATTAACATAACAATAATAATAATAAAAAAACATAAAAAAGAAACATCCCCACTGAACCCCAGTCCACCTGCCCTAACTCGGCCCCGGAAATAGCCACGGCCTCCCCACGGTCACGTGATACTCGGGGACATTGGAGTAGAAGGAAATCGTGTCTTAACCGGTTGCAGTTCAAACCTCTGGCTGTGGAAAGTGTATTAGAGGACTCTGTGGACATATCGCTAAGCCCACCCCTGGGCCTGGGTGGGGGTCTGTGCAGACATCATGACTTTATGGTAAACCACGTCCGAGGAGAAGCATGTGTCCTGAGATCGGTCACCTCCTTGGAGAGAGCAAAGGACACCACTCGGCACACTCAGTTCCCTCTTCCCAGACTGAGCAAGCAGGTGCATCTCCCTCCCTGGGGAAGAAGCACTGAGAAAGGCCAGTTGAGCCCCCGCACCTCTCCCCCAGAGCGCGGACGCCCCTCCCTCTGTGGAAACACCAGGATCGGGAGATAAGCACCTGCTACCCTTTCTGGAAGCGGGCACGGTTAGATGTTTAGGGCAATATTTTCACACCTGACCTTCCCCCGGAATGCATTCCCCTTGATGAGCATAGTGTCTGGCACAAAACGGCCTCCACAGTCACTTGGTGGGAGGAAGAAGGAAGAAAGAGGGGGATGGGGAAGGAAACTTCAATGTGGCAAAAGTACTTTTGGTTCAAAAATACTCTTCTTGTTCCTCTGCTCCAGAAATTGATGTCACTGGAGAGAAACTCGGGGCCAATGACACCGCAAATGTGCATCATCAGTGCCCACACTTTGTGCCACAGAGAGTCCTGACCGCATGCGCTTTGGTCCAAAGAACAGCCCCTGAGTGTGAGGAGACATGACACTCAAGCCTTGGGAGCAGCCTTCTCTGGTCCACTCACCATAACCAAGCGGCCACACTGACTCTGGGGCCAGAGTACATTAGGCAGAAAATGGATGGGGGAGACCTTGGCCGTTCTGTCTCACTTTTTAGAGTCAACATGCAACACAGGTGCGAAAACAGACCAACTGATGCAGAGGGGTCAGGCCAGCCCTTACTGGGACACCACAGCCCACTTAAACTTAATGAGTTACAAACTCGCTAGCTTCACAGTGGTAGTTTGAAGCTGGCTACAGGGGAAATTAGCAAACAGTGCACACTGGAGCTCCCAGCCCAGCCCAGCCCAGCCCAGTGTTTAGTATTTGTTTTGCAGGGTACCTTGAGACCACTAGATCAGAAGACCAACACACTATGGTCACCTGGTTTATAATAAAGCCACCACTGCAGCCAAATGGGGGGAAGAATGGTCTTTTCAGTAAAATTGTGTTGGGTCATCTGGATATTATAGGGGAAAAAGTAAGTTTTGAGCCTTCCCTTTCCTTATACACAAAGATTAATGAAAGATGGATCATATACCCAAACGTGGCAAGATACAACAAAGTTTTTGGAAAGAGACTTAGGAGACTTGTGGACAGCAGAATAATGCCCCTCCACCCAGGGTGTCCCCATCCTAATTCCCAGAACCTGGGACTAGGCTATGACATGGTAAAGGGGAATCACAGGTGTAGACAGATGGATGAGAGAATGGATAGCTTTCCCCTAAAGCTTTCCGAGAAACATTCCCTACCTCTTCCTACCAGCTCAGGACACGAAAGAGAAGCACGTGCCTTACAAGGAATGTTGCAGCCTCCAAAACTTAAGGCTTGTATGTCTTGCACCACCAGGACCTGTGACTGTGACTCTTGGAGGTGCTGGGGAACCTCCCGTGGAACAGTGGGTCCTGGCGACCTCTGTCAGTTATGCAGCAGGGCAGTAGCCCCACCAGGGTCGGTCTTAGAGGATGTTAGGGCTGCTTCTGCTTGCACCCCCGGATGGGCTAGGGGGTGATGCAGGAGAGGAAATGCTTTCCAGAGAGTGGGGCAACTCACTGTTGCCAACTTTACTCTTCTGGAAGTTTCTGTGGTGCCCTGTAATAGTCTGAATGGGCCACGGCCAAACATCAAAAGGCCATGTTCTTTATTCTTGACCTTTCCCTGTATTTAGCCTTGTTTCCATGACAGACCATGATCCAACACCATGTTGGACCTTAACTAAGGTATCTTAACCCAGCCAGGTAAGGGGAGAATACGCTGAAACCATGAAGTAGATGTACAACCATCTAAAACCATGCTGCCTTGAATGACTGTAAAACTTAGTTAGGAGAAAGGAACTTTGGACTTAGGGCCAAACTTCATGGGTCTTGGATTCAAATCCTGCATCAGCCTCTTTCTCACTGTGTGATCTTGGATAAGTCACTGAACTCTTAGGACTCCTCTGTAAAAGGGGCATAGTAACAAAGCCTACCTCACAGAGCACCTAACATGTAGCCAGCGCCACACAGGTACTGCCTGCATCATCAGCACCGTCACCATCATCGTCATCACCACCATCATCACCATCATCATCATCACCATCATCACCACCATCATCATCACCATCATCGTCATCATCACTACCACCACCACCACCACCATCACCACCACCACCACCATCACCATCATTTTCATCACCATCATCATCACCACCATCATTATCACCATCACCACCATCATCATCACTATTGTCATCATCACCACCATCATCACCATCATTGTCATCACCACCATCATCATCAGCATCACCATCATCACCACCACCACCACCATCATGAAGATCATCACCATTGCCACCATCACCACCACCACCATCATCACCATCATCGTCATCACCATCATCATCACCATCACCACCATCATCACCATCATTGTCATCACCACCATCAGCAGCAGCATCACCACCATCACCATCATTTTCATCATCACCATCATCATCATCACCATCATCACAATCATCATCACCATCATCCTCACCACCACCATCACCACTATCACTACTACTAGTGGCAAATTGGGACAGGCAACTTTGCCTGGGTTTTTATTCCTCAGAAGGTGCATTTGCTCATGGAACCAGAGGGAAGAAATGTGATATTTAGAAGGTTGGAGCTCCCAGTCTGAGGCAGACGGTCACCTACAAGAAGAGAGCACACCAAGAATGGGCCAAGCAGGAAGGAATGGACGTGGGCTTTCAAACCACGTCCCAGAAGCCACCTGCCACCTGCCTTTCCCACCATGACCTCAGGGTCTGAGATCAACACTCCACACCTCGTGACTGGCTCCCTCTCCTTCCTCCTCTACTTCCCCCAGTGTCTACCAAGCACGAGTCCTGGGAAGCAACCACCACGCTCCAATCATCACAAGGAGGAGGGCTGAGCGTTTGCATCTAACGGAGCTGCCACCCTTAAATGAAAACACTCTGGTCAGGCCAGCAGGCTGTTTCTTTTCTTTATTTTTTCACAAGCTTTGAATTCAGAAATAAGAGCCACAATAAGTCAGTTGGTAAGTAAAAATGGGGGGTGATTACAAAGGAAAACTTTGTACAAAACTTTAAAAATCTGACTGCCCCGTCAAACACCTCGAAGGGACCAGGAGCGGGGCAACGGGGAGCAGCTGTTGCCCGACCATTGTCAGCCCTGATGGGGGTGGGGAGCCCCCTTTCTGAGTGTGAACCTGGTTAGGCCTGAAGTCGGAGCTGGCTGGAAGGACACACACAGACCAGAAGACAGCATGGCGAGTCACAAGTGCCATGGAGACCAGAGTTTCTGACACAGGACGTGGATGATGTTTCTCTGCAAACACTGGAAGGCTCCCCTGCCTCTCTGAGAATTCACAGAAGGTTCTCAAGGGGGGTGGAGCGGGGAGGAGTGGGGCAGGCTTCTTTCTAGCGTGGACTTGGGGTGGGGGCAATGAGTAAACATCCTCGCGGTAAAGAGTTTTGGAGTTGCCCCTGAGGGCTTGAGGTCTCGGCATTGTGTCTACATTGGTCCTCGGCAATGTTCCGTCAGATGCACTCACAGACTTGCACACATAATTTAGTAACATGCATCAACTATCCTAGAGCAGCTACAAGGGTGCGAAAGGAACCACCCAGAGATTCATGGAGCCCGTGGAGTCAGAAGTGGGAGGGACAGTACAAGACGATGCTAGAACCTGCGTTCACTAAGGAGGGAAATGGAGACCCATGCTCTGAGGTGGAGTCGGCATGAACACACAACTGTGGGGCAAGGAGTTTCCAAGCAAACACACCACACTAGTACCACTTCTTCCTAAACAAAAGAGGAAAGAACATCATTCAATTTTTCCCCTCATCAGTACCAAATAAAACTGCGGATTTGCCAATCCCCGACAGGGAAAGGAATGGACATTATTCCTAGAACGCTTCACGCTAGCTCATCTGTCCACTCGTCCGCCTTCAGCCGAGACTGGTGATGTTGGAGCGGCCACCAGGGGGCGCCACGATGCGGTGGCCAGTGCGCCGGGGATTGTTGTCATCTATCTGGGCACCTGGAAGAGACGGGGCCAATCACTGTCGACAGGTTCCACCTGCTGCTCCTGGGGGTCAGGACGCTGAGCCCTTGTCCTGACATGCCCTCCAGCCTCCCCACCCTTTGGGGCTCAGTCCAGGCTCACCTCTGGGAGGGCTCCCCAACATCCACGGGGTTCACTGCTCTCTCCTCTGTGCCCCCCCTCTGGCTCTGGCGTCACCCTCTTGCAGCCCTGGCCGCCCTGCACTATATCTTGCCTGGCTTCATGTTCTTGAGCCACGAGGACAAGCACTTATTGAGTGCCTACTGTGTGCAGGCATAGCCTTGGTGCTTTAACATATGTGCTTGAGTTTAGGGTACACAGCAATACTATGAAGGGGGGTTACCCCAAGTGTACAGATGAGGAATTGGAGGCTCAGGTCATGCACCTTGGGGGGGCAAAGCTGGAAGGTGGGCAAGCCACAATTCCAGCCCCAACTGGTTTGTCTCCACAGCTTTAGCTCCTATTGGAGTCAGAACAATGCACAGTAGTTCCCGATGCTCCGAAGGTATTTTATGTACGGTATGCATGGGAGTGCATGCGTGCGTATGTGTGTGTGTGTGTGTGTGTGTGTGTGAGAGAGAGAGAGAGAACTACTCAGAGCTGGATTTACCCACCTCGTTTGCAATGGCCAGAGCTGCATGGGGGAGGGGCATCATTTTTTTGTTTCCAATCTGCAAAACCAACCATTTGTTATACGTTCTCTGGCAGTTAAAGATTTAAAGTTCCAGCATCAAGCCCAGCGCCTGGTGCTCAATAGATACGTATTCAATGAGTAAGTAGTGACTGATGGACAAAGCCAAAAGGAGGGATGGCGTGAGAGGGCCCTGAGGTCCAGTCCGGAGACAGGTTGCAGTACAGATCATGTCTGGAATGTGGGTGATTTGGAATCAGACCCTCCTTCCCTCAGCCTTCACTTCCTTTCCATTGAGTGAGAGGAGCGGAGATGAAGGGCCTTCCATCTCCGAAAGCCACTATGCATGTAGCGTGGAGAGCTGCCTGATTTTCTCAGAGTTCTCTTGGTAGACACTTTGTCTTCCTGGGAAACCAGGAACTTCCTCAAGTCCCAGAACCAGAAATCAGGCCTAATACCTGTTTCCCCCATAATCCTCTCCACCTTGCTGGTTACATGTTTGCTACTCTGAAAGCACCTGTCGGGCAAAAGGACCCTAGTGCAGTCAATCACGTTGCATCTCTATAAAGTGATACTAAGCTGGTATTTAAAAGGCATCTGTGAAGTCATTCCTGATTCAGAAAGTGCCTACGGTGCTGGTAACAAATGAAGTCACCTGCTAACCTGCCGTGAGGCGGGCTGGGGCAGGGCGGTGGGTCTGGGAGACGGTGAGCCGACCTGGGGCGTGTGGTGGTGGTGGAGCCCTTCCAGCAGACTTTTCATTTCATTGTTCTTCTAGTTCTAAAAGGGAGGGGTTCCCCCCCTGTATTTAATACTAATGGTGAGTTGCATGTCTTGAGGAGAGGTCCGGTCTGCAAACTCCATATAGCTTCACCCAGGTGGCTTGTCCTGGCTGTGTGTCCAATCCCTGTTGTGTTGACTGAGCATCAGATGAGATACATGAGTGGTGTTTTGGGTCCACTGGTGGAAAAAATACTAGTTCTCTTTAAAGACTGGAATCACACTCAGTATATAAGAAACCCTGGCATGAAGGCTCATGGGAAGTAAGATGAGCCCCCCCACACAACTTATGTAAGATGAACACCCCCCACCACAACTTATGTCCCCCACTGCATAATCGCTGAGACAGACACTCCCCGGATGGAGGGCAGTTGTCACTCCCACAATTTAAGTGAAGAGTCATCTCTCTCTCTGCCCCTCCATTCTCATTTGCTAAACATACCAGCTTCTCAGTTTAAATGGTTTTCACTCCTGTTAGATCAGAGTCGGCAAAGGAGGGACCACTGACAAAGCTGGGCCACCACCTGTTTTTGTATAGTCCATGGGCTAAGAATAGTTTTTTACTTTTTTTTTTACACTTTTCAATGATTGCATTTGAAATATCTACTTAATATAATACCCTAAATTTTGCCTCTTGGCTCACAAAACCTAGACCATTTACTATCTGGTCCTTTAAGACATTTGCTGGGGGCGCCTGGGTGGCTCAGTCATTAAGCATCTGCCTTCAGCTCAGGTCATGATCCTAGGGTCCTGGGATCGAACCCCACATTGGGCTCCCTGCTCAGTGGGGAGTCTACTTCTCCCTGTCCCACTCCCCGCTTGTGTTCCCTCTCTCGCCGTCTCTCTCTGTGTCAAATAAATAAAATCTTAAAAAAAAAAAAAAACATTTGCTGACCCCCGGAGCAGACTGGGGACTGCCCAGCTGTGTCTCATCCATCACCGTATTCCTAGCACTTAGCCCAGTGTGTAACACATGCTAAAGCCTCAGATACGCTAGGGGACAAAATTCCCATCAATCCCAGCGTGTGCGTGTCTGCCCTCATGTGGCGAGCTCATGAAACTGCAGTGTCCCTGGGGTCTGAGGGACCATGTTCAGCTTCACAGGGAAGGCGTGCTTAAGGATGAGCTCAGGGCCAATTTTTGTGCAGACTTCATAACCAGGGTCAGGCATCTCTGTGGACCCCTGTGGAGCCCCTCTGCTTTCTGACCTCCCCCTACCCGCTCTGCCACTCCCAGGAAGAAAGGAGATGGGGCTCCCCACCTGATCCTTGCTTTCTCATCTAGCGCGCAAGGTGGCCTCTTGGAAGTGCTGTGGGCGTGGGGGGCCTCTTACCTGATAAACTGAAGTTGGACTGGTGGAGGTTTCTGATGGGCGGGGGCTGGTGTTTGGAAGGCGAGGACTTGGCAGAAGGAGCAGGAGTCGCATATTTGGGTGTGGCTGGCACCTCGTACACGGGACCGTCGTACATGCCTCTGGGAACACCTTGCAATCCCGAAACCTAAACGGGGGGGTGGGGGAGGGGATGGATGGGCAAGATGCACCTGCACCTTCCCATTCAGGCAGGCTGGAGCCCTGCGGCCGGATAGTGACCTGAGGTGACCTCAGGGACACGCACGCACGCGCACACACACGTGTGGGTACACATGCGCACACATACCCCACATGCATGCATTTATTCCCCATACACACACGTACACACGCAATTCACATGTGCACACATGCACATGTAAGCACCCATATATACAACCCGACACAGACATGCACGTGCATGCACACACATACACACACACACAGCTCATACAGGAGGACCCCAAACCCATTTTCAAGAGGAAAACCCTTTCCCTGACACACCCACCATCCCCCTCAAGGACCACTGAATCATCTATGGTCTTGCAGAAGGTGGGCCCAAGACAAGGATTTGGGGGAGCTAGTTTATTTGGGGGGTGATTCCAGAAAGAAGGGGGAGAAGAAGGGAGAAAACCTGGTGCATGGTGGGGTGATGGGGCCAGCTTTGAGGGCAGCTGGCTCAGGGAAACTGGGAAGCGAACGTCTGCACGGACCCTCTTGCGGGGGCAAGGCATGGACGATGGTCTCCATCCCCACGGGTTGAGCGTTGCCCCGGGGGAGCCCTACACCCATGACTGGCCACCTTTCTCTTGTCCTCTTCGTAATACCTGCTTCTCGCACCTCTGGGGTGTCCCTCAGTTCCAGCTGGGGGACCCCTGAGATGATGTGGGATGCGTACTCCAAAGCAGCTCCGGTCAGTGTTACTCCTGCCACCCCTCCCATTCCACACGTGCACGCCCCTTTACAGCCCACAAAATCCCGGGGCCTCAACTCCGGCCCCAGGATGCAGGCAGGGCAGTGCCATGGCCCCTGCAGCCGTGACTCTGGACCCCGGCCCCACTCACCTTGCTCCTGATCCTGACGCGCTGGTAGAGGTACTCGGGGAAAGGCTTCCGGGGGATGAAGTGGCCCACGCCCTTGTTGACGTTAATGTTGCCGTCCTCGAAGACGATCTTGCCCTGGCTGATGACCACCAGCGGGGAGCCGTGGCACTCCATGCCCTCGAAGATGTTGTATTCCACAGCCTGCACGGCAAGAAGCACAGCGGGGCCCTTACCGCACTGGGTGTAACCCTCCCGCCGTCTTCCGCAGGCACTTCCCGCGCTTGCCCTCTGGAAGCGTCTTCTCCGGGGCCGCGTCATATTCCCGTCTATGTGCCTTCCTTAGCAGAACCAACCCTCGCTCGCTCTTGGGCACGTAGGCTGAGGGTGGTTTTACAGAATCCAACTAACGTCCGAGGCATCGTGAACGGGAACGGGGCCCCCCTGTTGTCTGGATATGTGCCTGCTCTAGCTACAATGGGCATTTTTGTGTCTTTTTATGAAATATCTTCTTTAGGGGTGCCTGGGTGGCTCAGTCATTAGGCGTCTGCCTTCAGCTCAGGCCATGGTCCCGGGATCCTGGGATCGAGCCCCACATCGGGCTCCCTGCTCCGCGGGAAGCCTGCTTCTCCCTCTCCCACTCCCCCCGCTTGTGTTCCCTCTCTCTCTCTGTCTCTGTCAAATAAATAAATAAATAAATAAATAAATAAATAAATAAATAAATAAATAAATAAATAAATAAATAAATAATTAATATATATATATATACACATCTTCTTTAGAGTTAGTTTTCTATAATTAAATTACTGGGTCAAGAGATAATGAGCTTTTTTAGGGTACTTGTTACATGCTGCCGAGTTGCTCTCCAAAGGCATCAGACCACCCGACACCACATCAGCAGCAGAACAGAGACACTTCCTTGGTTTCGCATCCATGAGCTCCCCTCCAGCACTGAATAAGGTCATTTTCATATTTTCGATTTCTTTCTTTGGTTTTGCTGATTTGGAAGTCAAAATATGCTCTTAAAAATACACACTCCTTTCATAACTCCTAAAGGGAATGTAACTACCACTAGCCAACTGTTTTTTTATTATTTAAAAAGTAGGTCATCTAGATGGTAAAAGAAAAATCAAAAAGCACAAATGATACTTGATTTTAAAAAACAGGTCTCTCTGCCACCTCGGACTGAGACATCTGCCTTAAAGAGATTCTTCTGAGACTCCAGATATTTTCGGAGCATGAACAACAGTCTCGACACTGCAAGAGTTCCGTACAGATGGCTTTTGCCCGAATTTTTCTCCTGACCTCAGAGATTGTTCCATATCGGCACAGGTCCCTATTAAAAATGTTTTTAACACCCTTTAAACCTCTGTACCGTCTTTCCTCACAGGGAGAATTGATTTATCCAGTTCCCAGAGATGGACAACTGGATTGTTACTGAACCACATGTCTGTGTGTCCACACTGGCCTGTGTGAGCATCTTTCTAGATGGGGAGTTGGGGCCAAAGAGTAAATGGATCTTTAACTTTGATAGGTTCGTGCTCCCTCACCTGCCTCCTGCCATCTGACCCCACCTGTGCCCCATTAACCACCAGGGTCTCGGTCGCTGCTCAGGTGAGAAATAGCATCGTACTCTCTCTCTCCCTCTCCCCCACTGCCCCTCCCCCTTTCTCTCTCTCTCTCAAATAAATAAAATCTTAAGAAAAAAAAAAAAAAAAGACTTGGATAAGCAGGGCTTGCCCCTTAGCATTCCAGAAATGTTTGACTATGCTCACGTTTAGCATCTAGGACCTCTGCTTTTCTAGCTAAAGAACAATTCCATTCAGTTTTCTGATGGGATCACTTCAAACTTATACATGAAATTAGCAAGAATTGCTATGTTCGCTCTAATAAATCGTTTTAGCATAAAAGAACTTGTGTTTATAAAAGTCTTTAGTTTTTGTTGTTATTGGAAACAGGATTTTGATTTCCGTTCTATTTTTTGAAGTGCTTTTGAATTACTTCATAGAAAAGCTATCGATTCTTTCTATTGGTTTTTAATCAGCCAATGGGTTCTCTTATCACTTCCAGTAGATTTTAGGAGCCACACTCTCTCTGCAGCTGCCTCCCAGGACCAGGCGGATGGTCTGCTCTCTGTTGTAACGTTTGCCAATCTAATGCTTCTTCAGTCACCCTGAAGGGACCCGCGGCGTGCTGACTTACATCCCACTGAAGCCCAAATGCGGAGCATGAGTGACCCAAAAGGCAGTGAGGAAACAAGCCACACTGCTACCAGTCGAGACTGGTCAACCTCCCAGCTCGCCCGGCCCCGCCCGGCCCGCTATTCCTCGTGCGGGAAGGACATGATGTGCGCCATCGTGACCCTCCTAATCGGGAAGCTCTTACGAGGCTCAGGCTTACCCCCTACAGATGCCACATTCGATGTCTTGCCACTACATGGGGTTTTAAAAGTTGTTTCGTTTCCTAAAGGTAACATGTGAACGATGTAATGAATTCAAACAGTACAAAGGACCACAATTACAGTGAAATAAACTGGGACACCTTGGGTGCCTCAGTCAGTGAAGCGTCTGCCTTCAGCTCAGGTCATGATCTCGGGGTCCTGGGATCGAGCCCCACGTCAGGCTCCCTGCTCAGTGGGGAGCCTGCTTCTCTCTCCCTCTGCCCCTCCCCCCGCTCTTGCATGCTCTCTCTCTCTCTCTCTCTCTCTCTCAAATAAATAAAATCTAAATTTAAAAAAAAAAGGAATAAGGTACTAACACACACCACAGTGTGGACGAGCCTCTAACCATGAAGCCAAGGGAAATAAGGCAGACATGAAAGGCCACACATTGTGGGATCCTTTTCTGTGATACGTCCAGAATTGGCAAATCCAGAGGGAAAGAAATCAGATCCCCAGTCGACAGGGACTGGGAGAGGAGAACAGGGAGTGACTGCTAATGAGTCTGGGGTTTCTTTCTGGGGGGGATGTACAACCTTCTGATCATACGAACCACCACAACATACACCCGTGTGCAGCGACCTAAAGCAGGCGGGGGGCGGAGTGGCAAACACCCTCAGCCACCAGACCCTCGCAAATGTTCTCCTGATGGGACACCTTCCTGACACCGCAAGGGAACACGTGCTCTCCTGCATGACCAGACCTCTCTCTGCGCACACGCATCACTGCATTCACAGGGATTCCAGCGGGATCGTGTGCCTGTGAGTTGGTAAGCTTGGAGAACGGGGTACATCTTTCTCCAGGGAGGAGACCTCAAGCTCGTTTCCTCCCGATCCTGTCCCCAGGGATGGGGGCTGAGGGAAGGCAGCATGTCACTAGGGAGCACTGGCTAAGCATGACAGCCGGCTGGCGAGCTGGACAAGACTTCTACAGCCCCATGCCATCTCCTGTGGCCAAGCAGGGACCTGGGGGCCAAGCTCATGAACTGCTACAAACAGTTCTTGTCACTTTCTTTTTTTTTTTTTAAGATTTTATTTATTTATTTGAGAGAGAGAGAATGAGAGACAGAGAGCATGAGAGGGAGGAGGGTCAGAGGGAGAAGCAGACTCCCTGCCGAGCAGGGAGCCCGATGCGGGACTCGATACTGGGACTCCAGGATCATGACCTGAGCCGAAGGCAGTCGCTTAACCAACTGAGCCACCCAGGCACCCCGTTCTTGTCACTTTCTTATGAGACTTCCTTGTGCCTGGGGTCCTGTCCTCATGCATGTGGCCTCGCCTCTCCCAGCAGGTAACCCCTGAGAGGCTGGGAAGCTATGCCCATGTGACAATGAGGACCCCGTCACAGGGCAAAGCAGTGTGCCTACACTCTGCCTCCCCGTCCGTGTCCTGTCACAAGACTTAGTGGGCCAGGGTCCAGGATGTGGCCTCCTGTCTCATGAGTGTGGACATTAATCTGGACCCAAGATCATTGCTGGCCTTGCAGAGTGGACTTGAAGCAAGCAGCAAGGGAGGGGAAGATGGTTTGTCTCTCTACGTCCTAGGTTTGCTGGTGGAGTGAAGAAATCAAGGGCACATAGGATACAAAGCACAGAAATAACCCACAGCCATAGGCTTGGGGCCTGGAGCTTGGGAAAGCATGCAGCCCTGTGGTGTGCTCAAACACAGAGGGCTCTAGACCCAACCCTTTCCTTTGCCGAGTGTTAGCAGTCACCCCAACATGAAGTAGGAGGTTTCTGAGAGAGGAGATCAAGCCCTTTCTAGCTCGATAACTAGATTGGAGAAAGAATCTTGGACCTAAAACTTCTCTGAGCCTAAGAATGCATGCATCTAGGGCAGGGGCCACCGAGAGAGAGAGAGACAGAGAGAAGGAGAGAGAGAATGTGTTCAGTAGCACATCAGCAGCTTAGCTGAGCCAGCTCAAAGCCAGTCTCTCCAACTGGCAGAGAAATGTGAAGGACTGAGTCATGCCAGATAGCAGATCACATCCTGGTTGGAAACTCCATAAATCATTTTCAACCAGAGGCTTCTAAAGTGGTTGCCGACCAAGCAAGAACTGCTTACCCAAATCAGGAGCATCTCAGGTAAGCCAGGACTTACCGACTTGTGACTCTTGGCTGTTATGGTCTTCACCTTGTCGGGGTCCCAGATGACCACATCGGCATCCGAGCCCACGGCAATCCGCCCTTTCCTGGGGTACAGGTTAAAGATCTTGGCTGCATTGGTGCTGGTGATAGCAACAAACTGGTTCTCATCCATTTTGCCCGTAGCCTAAAGGCAAGATCGGCTGATGAGAAGAGTGCCCCCCATCACAGGGCTGGGGGAAGGGCAGACAGGCACAAATCTAGACCCGCCGACAGGAGTCCTCGACAGCAGTCTGGAATCTTCTCCTCCCCCGCTGAAAACAGGCCATCCTGAAAGGGCACAAAGGCCTGGCCCCATTGGAGCAGAAATCTAACTGACCACTCGGAGCTGCGTTGACATTTGCTCAACGGCCTCTGTGGCATCTTGTCAGGCCCACTGGGGCCAAGTTTAATAGAAAATAAAAATCTCTGGCTCAAGTCAGGGATCAGGGTGTGATGTGGGGCGTCCTAACGCAACAAGCACCCTCTGTACCCACTGTCAACTCCAGACACACGGTTTACAAAGTCACCCTTACAGGGACTGAGATGCAGTCAGAACAAAACTAAAGAAAACGTTTTGCATCCTTAAAGAACGCTGGGCAGCTGTCAGGTTCGTGACTGCAGAGGACCCCACAGGACTTGTGCTGCTCTGTTAAGAGTCACACCTTTCCTCGCGTGCTCTCCTGGTGTATTCTGCTCCTGCCTCAAAGCAAGGAAGGCAGGAGCTTTAAGAATCAGCAGTTCAGGGGCGCCTGGTGGGCTCAGTCAGTTGAGCAACTGACTCTTGGTTTCAGCTCAGGTCATGATCTCATGGGTCGTGGGATCAGGCCCCGTATCGGGCTCCACGCTCAGAGGGGAGCCTGCTTGAAGATTCTCTCCCTCTGCCCCTCCCCCACTCACTCTGGCACCCTCTCTCTCTCTCAAATAAATAAATCTTTAAAAAAAATTTAAAAAGAACCAGCAGTGCACTATGTGCTAGCTTTTGATGGGCCAGGCAGGGTGCTTCTAGAATGTTCCTGGGGATAGAGAAACAGGGAGCGCCTTACCACTGCCTTGTCCCAGACAACAGTCATCCGCTCCTCAATCCCGTTGACGCCCTCAGGGATCAGAGTGAAGTTGTCCTTGCCCACCGCCTTCTGGGCAGTGCTGTAGGGACAGTGGCCGCTGCCCGTGACCTGCAGGTCCCCACTGCAAGGACGAAAACAAGGTGGGGGGCCGACCTGAGCTCAGGTTGAACTTCAAGCACCCAGTGCAGGCTGTGAGATGGAAACCCCAAGAGATTCTGGGGAGAGGATTTGGGGCACATCGTGGGCATCGGCAAGTGACATCGGAAGGCCCTTGTTGGGAAGGCTCTGTCAGTGTGGGCTCCGGGCTCTCCAGGTAAGGCTCCCCAGGTGGGCCTCCTCTTCCTCACCTGGAAGAGTGGACATCCGCCCAAAAGAGGTGCCAGATGAGGTTCATTGAGGGGGTGAGGCCAGATCAGGCTTGGCCTTGGGGCACATTGTGGGGACTTGTGATCCATGTTGAGAGAAGAGGATCCTGCGGGTCTCCAGGCAGAGGAGTGGCTTGGTCTGACTTGGGGTTTAAAATCTGGGCACTGGTTGGAAATGGACATGTTGTGGGCATGGAAGGGACAGCATAGAAACAGGCCTGTCAGAGGCAAGCCAGGATGGCCGCAGCGAAGGGGGCGAGAAGTGGTCAGATCCTGGGGCCTCTGGCCTGAGTCCTGCCATCTTCAGAGATGGGCAAGACTGTGGGAACAGCAGCTCTGTGGGGGTGATGGGCAGTCTGTTTGGACTGGAGCTGCCCACCAGACATCGGGCTGCAGATGATGAGCAAGCCCGTGGATATGCAAGTCGAGGGTTTCTGCATCATTTGGGAGAGATTTCCAAGGTAGGTACACAACTACCAGCCCCTTGGGGCTCCTCCTGACCAGAAGCCCGGACTTCTCCCCATCCAGCAAACTCCTACTCATCCTCTAGCTCCAGGCCCGATGTTGCCTCCCGCATGAAGCCTTCTGCAAGTCTCCTGGTTCTGAGCATGTGTCTCTGCTTCTAGAGCAGACTGCACACCTCACCACTTAGCCTTCTCTTATGGCCTAAGTGTTCCTCCCTCACACTGGCCAACAGCAGGGAAGGGACCAACGTGGCTATACTCCTACTCTGTGCACATAGCCAGGGGGTGCTTTGCAAGTAACAGTAGCCACGTACTGAACCCTAAATTCTAGGCCATATTCCTACACCATCTCATAACCAGCTCTGCAAAAGATACCATGTTCTCCCCCACTTTGCCGATAAGTAAACCAAAACAGAAAGCCATTGCGGGTTATGTGACAAGCCCAGGGTGATTCCTGGATTCTCATTCCTCCTCCTGGGTGCTTCCCAAGATACCACAGTGGACCCAGTATCCCCCAGCCACCCCTCGGCTCTCACCAGGCCAGCAGGGAGGTCAAGTAGTCAGGCGTGGTGGGGTCTGGGCTCAGGGGAGGGGAGGTCACAAATGCCGCTGCCTTGGCCCAGTTCTTACTCCAGTAGTGGGTGCCATCGGTCCCCAGGCTGGCAGCGATGGGCTCGCCAAACACCAGGGGGCCTGCGGGGGCAAACACAACACACGGTCAAGGGCGGATGGTCTCTCAAGGGAGATCTGGTGGCACAGAAGTGGAGGGTCAGAGACGGGAGAATGATGATCCAAGGGGCAAGACGCTGTCTGTCCTTCTCCCCTGCATCACCACCAAGCCCGGTGACCTCCTGGCCGCCAGGCACTCAGCACTGGCTGACCTGCCCAGCAACCTCCCGGACTGGTAATGCGTTTAGCATTTGGATAGGACCACTATGCCCTTTGGCAGGTTTGTCATTTCAGGCCCAGGACGGGATTTGCTGTCTCAGGGCAGATGTGGCCAAAAGCCCATCTTCCAATTAAGGAGCCGAGTTCAAGTGTTTTACTTGGGAGGTGATTCCAGGCAGCACTGGCTGGGGATGGAGGAGGTGACACAGGCAGAGAAAGACGTCAAGAACAGGTGAGTAGTCACCGAGTCACGGCCATGGGCACCTGCAGCTCAGGGCCACTGGGGCCTCTGGGAGAGTTCTGACCGCACCCCGGGGCCCTTCCACCCCAGGGCCAGGGAGCTGGGCTGTGCACCCACAACCCACCACTTGATGGCTGCTTCCAGAGCATCGCTTTCCAGGAATTGCTGCCTGCTTCCCAGGGAGCAGGCCTGATGTGCTTCAGCCAGAACAAAGCCCACAGGCACAGCCTCAGATCTGCTCGCAGAGGCGGATGCTGCCTGGATACAGGCCTTTGCCCAAGGCCACCGTGCTGGCCCGACGGGGAGGCGGGCTTTGAGCTGCAGCGATCAGGCTGCCCGAGAGCAGGTCCCGCACCGATGGGAACGTTCTCTATTCGTGCTGCCCAAGACGGCAGCCACTAGCCTCATGTGGCTCGAGCACGGGAAATGTGGCTAGTGCAGCCAAGGAAGGCATTTCAAATTGTATTTAATTTTACTTAATTTAAATGGGAACAGCCACATGTGACTGGTGGCCACCGTATCCCTCCGCGTGGCCAGGACCTGCGTGCTTACTCCTGCTTCCAAAGTGCTGTCACCGCTCTGCCTCAGTTTCCTTATCCTTAAAATGGAGCCAGTTCTGAGCAAGCTGTGTTATACTAGAGCACTGTCTTTTAATGCCTCTGTTTGTCAGCTTTCTCTGAAAAATACTAAAACAAGGTACTGTGGGTTCAAAGCTGCTCTGGTCCCACACGGTAACCACCAGCCCCACGTGGCCGTCAGGCCCCCGACGCTGGGGTTGGTCTGAACTGAGATGCGCTGGAACGTGGCAGACACACTGGATTTCAAAGACCGCACACACAAGAATAGCACAAAATATCTCTAATACTTTTTATGTAATTGTATGTTGAAATAATAGTTTGGATGCCTGAGGTTAAAAATATCTTATTGAAGGTATTTTTAAAAGTATAGTTAGTAAGGCTTCCCATTTAGGGCTCCCGTGAGAAATGAGGAGCATCACGTATACAGTAGATGCTCAATAATGGCTGTTGGGTTGTTGTTGATTTCCACCCGGCCTTCCACACTGACCCACAACTCCCTGTCAGCCTCACATGACACAGAGAGGGACCGGGCAGATTGATGAATGTCCTTGGCGAATGTCCACCAGCCACGGTCTTCATATAATATGCACGACCCCTCCTCTGTCAGTAGTCTGTCTGTTATTCTCTCTCTCTCTCTCTCTCTCTCCCTGAGTTTGGGAAGGAAGCTGCTCTTTGGAGGCTTCTTCATTCTCAGTCTGGTGACTGGTGGGGGACTGTGGATCTCACTGTCGTGAAGGCCGGGGACCTGCACCTGGGCCCCTGCTCCGAGGATCCTGCGGTCAGAATGTACCCACTGAGCCCTCCACCAATGGTCCTCAGCATGGCAGGCAGCCTGGTACTGAGGTCCCACTTGGGAGGTGAGGGTACCAAGGCAGGAGGTGAATGGCCAACGTGGAACTGAGAACGGCATCAACCAACACCCACGGAGCCCTGGGGTCCTGCCAAGAACTTCACATCTATGAGCCCTAAGACTTCACGTCTTAGAGACAAAGCAGCAGACGCTTGATGCAGTTCAGTGGTGCATCATCTTCAAGCTGGGTGGCTGGTTTCCTGGGCCACACTCACCTGATGTCTGGCACAGGGCTGCGCCCAGATGGAAGGCTCTGGAAACCCATCTTCTTCCTTCCCAACCCACAGCCAAGGTTCTGCATGAGCCCCACACCTCACCCTGGATGCAGGCACCAACCACGGGGCCCTAGGCAGGGGACACAGGATGACGTGCCCAGAGGGGACCTGAAAGAGGGTGGGCAGGATCCCAGAGTTGTTGCAGCCTGGCCCCAGCACTGACTTGATGGAACCCCCCAGAACAGAACTGGAACAATGCAGAGCTCCTTAAAATACATGGTCTCAGGGCACCTGGGGGGCTCAGTCCGTTGACTCTTGATATCAGCTCCGGTCATGATCTCGGGGTCGTGAGACCGAGCCCTGCGATTCTCTCTCTCTCTCAATAAATAAATTAATTAAAATAAAATACAATACACGGTCTCATCCGATCCTACAAAGTGGGATAATTTACCTACATGGGGCACAGGCTGCTGGCAACTGTCAGGGTGTCTCTGCTCTGGGCAGTGGCCCCATCAGTGAACTTGACCTGCTGGACAACTCCCCTTCCTTATGGCCCAGCTGCCCTGCAGGAGGCCCAGGCGCTGGGCTGCGTACCTTTCTTCCTGGCCAGGGTGATGATGTCCGCTGCACTCTTGCTCATCACCTTCGTGATGTACACCGGGCAGTTGATGCGGCCAGCAATGGTGATGGCCCGAAACACGGCCTCAGCCTCTAGCTGGGGACACGGAAATACATGGGTCACGGGAGGGAAGGACAGAGCGCCACCACCCCCCAAACCCCTAGGGCTCTCCCTGAATCAAAGCCCTTCCGTTTTCCGTTAATTAAGTGTGGCCAGAGGCAAATCTACTGCCTCGGGGGAGAAAAATATTAAGATTTCTAAAAAGAAAGGAAAAAATTAGTCAAAATGTATTTGGTTAGGGGCGCCTGGGTGGCTCAGTCGTTAAGCGTCTGCCTTTGGCTCAGGTCATGATCCCAGGGTCCTGGGATCGAGCCCCGCGTCGGGCTCGCAGCTCCGCGGGAAGCCTGCTTCTCCCTCTCCCACTCCCCCTGCTTGTGTTCCCTCTCTCACTGTCTCTCTCTCTGTCAAATAAATACATAAAATCTTTAAAAAAAAAAATGTATTTGGTTAAAGGGTTGGAAGGCAGAATTATGTTACTGTGCTTGCTTGGAACCATGCTGCATGTTCTGTTAGGAGGGGACAGACCAGGCAGGATAAAGCATCAGAAGGCCCATAAAACCGTCCGTTACTTATAAAACGCCTGACATAACCAAACACACGTGTCTGACATACGTTCCTTCGTGCATTCGATAACCACGGGCAACTGCTTACTGTTTGGCTTGGTCTCTGCCCCCTCTAGACCAGCACTGCTCAAACATCAGGACCAGATATGTTTAGTAGTGCTTTGTTTTTAATTTCCAGTCCGCTGATGCCCCCGACGTGGTCCCACTGCTTGGGACTGGTACTGAGTCACAGTGCCCCCAAGACGGTCCCCACCCAGCTCTCCTGGGTGAATGTACTTGTCACACACCTAGATGCAGGGCAGTGGCCATGTGCTATAAGGGGTTTGTAAACACTGTCTCTAGGTCTGTCCTGACCTCACCAGGGACCAGGAACACCGCTCATGGGCTGCAGGGCACTGTACAGATCAAGGTAAAAAGTCTATCTACCCACGTGTTGTGGCCCCAGTGTCCAGCACAAGGCCAGGCCCACGGCAGACACACACACACACACACACACACACACAGCCTGCCACTTGCAGGGAAATTCATCCACGCTCAAGTCTTAGAACACACTGGGCAATGTGCAAGGGAAGCAGTTTCATCGGTTCTAGGTCTCGAACATGCGGCTCCATCTTCCTATCACCAAATACATAAGGTCCTCAGTGAGGATCCTTCTATCCAGTTATGACACTGAACTGTTCATGGGCCTTGGTGTGGAGCTCCTGGGCCCGGGGACAAGCAGGGCCTTTCCCTAGCTCCTCTGATTGACCCCCAGGACCCAGGGCTCCCAAGTCAGAGGGCAGACCCCAGGGAAGGCCACATGTGCTGGGATGCTCCTGTTGGGGGGATGGGGATGGAGACGGGGGCTCTGGCTGGGCTATTCCAGCTGGAACAGCATCAGGGTAGGCCCTCAATGATGTCAGATTCACACCCCGGGGGAGGCTCCATTACCTCCTCAGGTCTGCTCAGAGCATGACCCTCGGGACCTGTGATGCCCATCTCCAAGATCCGCTTCTGTTCCTGCAAGACAAGAGCACCGAGTCAGCAACTGTAGAATGTCAGCCGGGAGAGGCCAGTCCTCCGCCCCCATTAGGCAGATGGACAGCTAAGACCCCGGAAGGTGAGTGGTCTGCAGGGGTCCAACTAAGGCTGCGGGTTGATCCAGCGCTCCTTTGCCCCCTCCACTCCACCTGCCCCGTTCTGCACCCTGGAAACCTACCTCTCCACCTGCTCTCCCTTCACCAGTAAGAGGAAGGGGAGGTAAGAAATGAACTCTAAAGATGACCGGCCACCTTTCCAGGCCCTGCATCTCTGCTGCAGGGCTCTCCTCGGGGAAGAAATGGGGTGTCTGGGTATTGCATGAATGTGGAAATTGAAGAGCCCTACGCTGGGAGTCCAGCCGCAGAACTGGCCATCTCTGGGACTTTGGGCGAGTTGGCCAAGCTCTCTGGCCTCAGCCTTCTCGTCCTCACACCGGAGACAAGAGCCCCTGCATCTAGAGCTTCTGCACGGAGTCAGCGACGGGACCAAGGGTGGGGCAGAGCTCACTGACTGGCAGCAGGCTCTCACTATTCCTCTTCCTGGGGCCTGTCGTTCTATCAGGAAGCCTCTACCTTGAGCTTGTCTTAGAGCCTGGAAATGATTCCAGATTCAAACCCATTTGCTTCGAGCTTTCCTTGCCAAAGGAATACTATAATTTCTCCAAAAAAACCCTGTTTTTTATATTGCCCAGATGTCAGCTGCGCTAATTGTCACTTGTGCGGTTTCTGTAGCATCCTCGGGCACATCCCCTACAATGGGCCCCCAGCCCTATCAGCCATGGGAAAAAAAAAAAACATAATTTCAACCGCATCTCGGGTTATTAAGCTTGAGCTTATTGTGAGAATGTAAACTGTAAACGTCAAGATCTAAGAGCTGGGGTGGATTTAAGTAAACAACAGAATAATTTGAGCTATTGAAGATGGTGTTTACAGAGCATTTCTGTACCCTGTTTACACAATAACTTATGTATGGAGAGATCCCTATGCAAGGCCGTTTAGCTGTCCCTTACTATTTCTGTTGGAAAGAAGGCAGGAAGCGAAGAAGGCAGGAAGGATACAAGACGCTATCACGGAGGAAAGCACAGATTACAGAAAGACTAGAACAGGGTTTCCCGAGAGAGATGGCGGGCTGAGCCCACACGTTATCTTCGCTCCCCGCTGAAACCCCACAAAAGTGACAGGAAAGGTACACAAAAGCCATGAGAATGCAGAGCGGACAATAAAAACAAAATTTTGGAACCTGGAAAGCAGATGAGCAAAACGTAACAGATTTATTGGAGTTGAGAAAGCTAAATCCTACGTGGGCAGTATGGAAAGCTGAGACCTCCCCCCGACATTGAGCCCAGGAGCTGGGGGCTCCCGGCTGCACGTCTCACACGCCGCTGGTGGGCATCTAGGGTTCGTTCGCTCTGGAAAACGGTTCAGCAGTTAGGACCAAAGCTGAATATACATGTCCGCACCAAACAGCAATTCCACTCCTGGGTAGATACTCACAGAAATGCGAACCCAGGTTTCACAAAAGCTTTCTACGCAACAGTCCCAAATTCAAACTCTCCCAGTCTCCATCAATGAGAATACATTATGACCTATTCCTGCCTTGGAATTCTACAGTGATGAAGAAAAGAAAAAAAAATTGTTTCGTGGACAACAGGGAGGAATCTTACAAGCCCTATTTTGAGCAAGAGAAGCCAGACATAAAAGAACACATACCATATTGTTGCCTTTTTATCAAGTGCAAAACTAGGCCGAACACATGTGTGTGTGGTGGGCGATTTCTGAGAGGCCCCCCGCGGGCCCGTCCCCGGCTCCATGCCCTGTGTAACCCCCCATTGCAGCTATGCTGAACTAGCACCTTGCTTCTAATGAACAGAACACAGACAAGAGAGACGGCCAGAGACATGGACATCACAAAGGACTATGGCCTCCACCCTGCTCACCCCCACTCCCCCTCCCGTTCTCCCACTGGCTCCCTCAGAAGGAAGCCAGCGGCTCTGCTGGGGCTGCCCGCAGGGCAAGGAACCAAGCGGGCCTTTGGGGAACAGCCAGCCAAGAACAGAGGCCATCAGTCTGAGCTTGCAAAGAACTGAATCCAGAGAACAAGCACTGGAGTGCGGCTGGAAGTCCCGCCCCAGTCTGGCCTGAGGACAGCTGCAGCCCTGCCTGACACTGCAGCTTGCAGGGGACCCCACTACGCCACACCTGGACTCCGACACTGCAGCCTGTGGGGGACCCCACTACGCCACACCTGGACTCCGACACTGCAGCCTGCGGGGGACCCCACTACGCCACACCTGGACTCCGGGCCCACGGGACCAGAAGATAATAAATGGTTATTGCTTTCAGATGCTAAGTTTTGGGGTTCCTGGTGATGTAGCCACAGAGAACTAATGTAGATAGTGATGCCCGGAAGTAGGGTGTTACCGTAACAACCTCCTGAAGCTGTGGGAATGGCTCTGGGACCAGGCAGTGCAGGGGGGCTGGGAGGATTTCAAAGCACGTGCTGGACAAAGCCCAAAGTGGCCTGGAACAGACTGTCAGTAGAAAGGCGGACAATGAGCAGCTTGGCAGTGAGAGCTCAAAAGGGAACGAGGACATTATTGGAAGCTGGAGCTTGCACCGGAACCTACTTAAAAAAAAAAGAAGGAACCAGGATATGATGGTCTTGAAAATTCTCTGCTTCTCCAAAGAGCAAAAGATAGTGCAATTAAGAAATGTCTTCTGGGGTTGTCTGGGCGGCTCAGTTGATCATCCAACTCTTGACCGGCTCAGGTCATGACCTCAGGGTCCTGGGATCGAGCCCTGTGTTGGGCTTGGCACTCAGCATGGAGTTTGCTTGAAATTCTCTCTCTCCCTCTGCCCTTCCCCTCCCCCCGCCACCATGCTCTCTCTCTCAAATAAACAAGTCTTAAAAAAAAATCTAAAAGAAATGTCTCCTGAGCAAATATCAAATCCAGGACATAAGCAGCAGACAGTAGTCCAGAGGCAAAACTGGGGTGTGGCCCCACAACGTTGGTGAAGAACTGGAAAGATGGAGGCTTGTGCCTCCAGGATGAATCAGTCACAAAAAAGCCCTTTAAAGAGACTGACAGTGTACCCCCAGAGCCTCTCCAACCGGAGGGCCTCCAGGAAGCTCAGGGCATGAGCAGGATAGGAGTAAGCTTATCTGGTAGAAATCTGTGGGTGTCTTTTGTCTGATGGAGTAAACCACGGAGGGAGTCACAGGAAGCCAACAAAGCCTGGGAGAATCACTTTAGCAAAACCCTGGCAGCCTGGGCTGAATGGTATGAAAGGACACAGTTGGACCTCCAAACTCTACTGGGCAGGAAGGAGGCTCAGCGGCAAGCACGTGCTACTTTTCATGGAAAGGATGGATGATGGGAAGTGGGGAGATAGAATCTAGAGCCCAGAAGGTGGAGCCAAAAGCCAAGCAGAACTACTCGCAGGCTCCGAGGCCTAATCAAGGAACTGCCAACACGTGCCCAACTGCATTTCAGAACAGCTATGGACCAATCCTGAAGCCTTCCATTGTCCCTCTTGAAAAGGAATGTCCCCCCACCGTTGTATGCTGTATGCTGTGTATGTTGGGAGGAGGCAGATAACTTGCCTCTTTGGCTCCAGAGACCTAAAGATTGGAGGAACTATCCCCACGGAGCCTCCTCTGCACCTAGATCTGACTTAGACACTTCTAGACTTTGGTGCTATGATGGGAGTCTGGAGGACACTGGAAGGGGATGGATGTGTTCTGCATGTGAGCGGGACACCAATCACTGGGAGTCAGAGGGCACAATGGCAGACAGCTCTGAGAGGGCCCCCAGTGATCCTAACTTCCTGGCATTCACACCCTTGTGTCATCCCAACTAAGAAGTAAAGCCAACAGCTGACATTCCTAGCGAAACTTTGGAGCTCATGCACTTAACCATTGTGGCGCAGCCCCGCTGTGCTCAGAACTGCCGTATCATCCCAGCTCTGTGCCCCACGTAATGGTGAGCAAGCTATTCATATCTGAACCCTGGTTCTCTATCTATAAAGTGGGGATATCTGTGTCATATCTATGTCATGGAGTAGTTGTGAACATCGCTATATGAAGTCCATAGCACCATGCCTCGTATTAACTACTTTCATTAGGTGCATCCAAATGTTCTCAGGTATGCCTGATCTTGCTTTGTGACGTCATGACCAACCCACGTCCATGCACCAGAGGCCAAGTGGCGTTCCCTGACCTCTTCTTCCTCTTCTCCATCTGGTCAACCAACGAGAACCATGGACTGTGCTCCTTCCCTCACACACTGTGCTTCTTCTCTCTCCTCTCTTTATCTCCCGTCTTCATTTATTCTGAGAATTGCAGGAGGAGAACCCAGCTGGTCACCCTGAGTCTATTCTTTTCCTGTCAAATTCTCCATCCTACAGCCAGAAGGATCAAAATGCATTCATGTCTGTCCCTACCCAAAATTTTGCATGGCTACAGCCTACTGTGTGTCAGATGCTGGACTTCACATACATGGTATCATTTAATGTTCGTGAGGCAGGTGCTACTGGATGAAGAACAAGAGCCTTCGAGGGGTAGAGTCCCCGGCCCGAGGTGGGGTGGCAGACGGGGCGGGGCTCCCGTCATTACATCCCCTCCCAAGTCCTACAAGACGATAAGCAACACCAGCTTCCATGCGCCTCACCTCTGGTATCCCCCACATTTGCAGAGCATCTCCTTACGATCCTTATTTGTCCCTCATGGAAGCCCAGTGAGGCTCACAGATGGTTATGCGATCCCCACCGTGCAGGAGAGGAAACTGAGCCGAGAGACGAGGTGGCCTGCCGAGAGCCCCCTGCAGACGGTGCGTGCATGACTCACACCCGAAGTGTCTGATGCACCATCCAGCTCTCAGCCTGACCCTTCAGAGCCTAGCCACCTCGCTCACCAACGCCTCCACCCCTCCGATGGCACCATGACAGCATCGGGACGCAGACTGGAGCGGAAAGGGTGGACATCCACGCCACTCACCTGAGCTATCAAGTCTCCGTTTTCCGCGTGGACCAAGATCACAGCTCCCAGCCCCTTCAGGAAGGTGAAGGCTTCATAGAGCTGAGGGAGAAGCAATGGGGTGGGGGGGGAGATAAAAATATCACAGCCTGAGCGTTTGCAAAGACGGCTCTTCTGCTCAGTCGCCCACCCGCCAGCCCCTGCTGAGGCAACACGGACGCTCTGTTCATACCGATGGAATGAGTTGCTCAACAAGTTAAGCCTTGGAAAGGGTCTCCCCTTGACCCTGACACCCTCCGGATCCCAAAGCAGGAGGCTGGGGGAAGGGCAGAACTGAACGAAGCCACACCAAGGCACGAAATGCCCTCGGTGCTGGTGCTCATCGTGCCTTTCGCCCTCCCGCCTTTCCCACACAGGTGCCTGCCGCTGTTGCTGGGGACAGCCACGCTGAGATGCTGGTTTTAGTTCTACTGAACTTGTGTGACTAGACGTGCTCAGCCTGTGCTGTGGGCCGAGTTCTCTAATAACTCTAACCCTCAGGTAATACACACCCCGCCAGGCATCCGCTTACTTAGCCGGTGCAGGCCCTGCCCACTGCCCATGCCCTGCTCCCCCCTGCAGAGGGTCTGCACTCAGACCCGTGCCCGCGGTGAGGACCAGAGCCGCCACGTTCCCTCTCCAGGGCCTCTCGAATTTTAACTTTGTTCTGCATGCGTGCAAGACAGCACCCCACCCCAGGACGTGTGCTTTTAGATGCAACAGCAGGGGGCGGGCGGGGTGGGGGGCACTTGGGAGCAGGAAGCACCTTCCAGGACCCCCATGGCTCAACTCCACCTGTCCCTGGGGCTCTGGTGGTTAGAATGAAACAGGCGAAAATCTCGGTTATGCTAGACAGACACATGCTACTTTGTCATGAAACTGAACCAATTTTGGCCTTTCCGTGACAATCAAAGGCCTGTAGGGCACCTTGGGGTAAGTTATTCTCTGTAACTCCAGTTTATTTTGTTTTTGTTTTGTTTTTTTAATTATGTTATGTTAATCACCTCCAAGCGTTTATTTTGAAAGGTGAGACCTGGACACGTCTCTCGTTGCACATCGAACTGCATGGTCATAAGGAATAACAGCTTCTCAGCGCCCATATGTGTGCCAGGCACTGTCCTAGAGTCATGTATTATGAATTCATTCAATCCCCTGACAACCTCTAGGAGGCAGATGCTCTCATGAGTCTAAAGCACAGAGAGGTTGGGAAAGCTTCCTCAGGCCGCACAGCAAGGCCAGGGTTGTAGCCAAGCAGTCTGGCTACGGCATCCATGCCCTCTGCCGCCACACTGCCCCACAGTTTTAACCAGCAGAGGGCAGGACAATGATAATAAAACCCGGAGTCCCAGTGGTGTCAGAAGGCCCGGTGCCTGGCAGACAATAACCCCAACACCCTGCACCACTTAGAGCATCACTTTCTCGAGCTCCTCTCACCCACACGACAACTGTTGGAAACCGGCAGGGCCAGAGATGGCCACGCTGCAGGGGTGAGAAAACTAAGGGAGGGAGACCTCAGTCACTCGATTGGCTAGAGAGAGAGCCAGGGCTCCCCTCTGGGTCAGAGCTAATGATGTGGTGCCCGTACTTGCTAGATCTCCAGAATGAACTGCCGAGCTTTCGGAAAAGTACACTTTCCCAAGCCCTGCACTGAACATCCGTGGTGGGATCTAAGATCTGTCCTGTTTTTAAGATTTTATTTATTAATTTGAGAGACAGAGTGAGTGAGAGGGGAAGGGAGAGAGAATCTCAAGCAGACTCTGCACTGAGCACAAAGCTCGACGTGGGGCTTGATCCCACAACCGTGAGATCATGACCTGAGCTGAAACCAAGAGTCGGACGCTTAACCGACTGCGTCACCCAGGAGCCCCTAAGAATCTGTCTTTTTTTAATGAGCTTTTTAAATGATGCTAAGGATGAGGTGGATTTGGGAACCATCAGGCAAAGGGATCCCGCACTCGACCCCACTCTAGTAGCCAGATAGGAATGCAGGCAGGGGTGGGGACTGACACAGGTCACATAGTAATGCAGTGTCAGAACCAGAACTTGAACTCAGAACTCTCCCCTGCCTGTTCTGAAAGCTCCCTTGCTTCCTGCCCAGGAGAGGGGGTGTGCAGGAGGAGGACCTACCTGGCTATCAGACATTTGGTAGAGATCCTTATATGCCATGTAGACTTGGAAGGAATTGACACCTGTTTCAAGATAAAAAAGGAAACAGAAAAATGCATTTAAGAAAAAAGCGTTCCTTTTCAGTAAATCAAGGATCACGGTACAGAGTGGTAACTGCTAGGACAGAAGGGTGTCACTGGGCCTCACAGTGGGGGCACTGAACCCAGCCTGGGTGTGTGTGTGGGGCGGGGGGGGGGGGGATCAAAGGAGGCTTCCAGGGAAGCCACACAGTTGTATATGAAGGAGAAGAAGAGGAGGAGGAGGGAGAGGAGGGGGAGGGGGACTATTTGGACTGAGAGGTGGGTGTGCATGGGTATGGACGGTAAGGTGGATGAAAAGACATAGAATGTGAAGGTACTAGAAGTGTCCTATGGCTCGATCCAAGGGAACATGTGCTTTTTTTTTTTAATACCCTACTTTATTTATTATGGTCAAATACATATAACAAAATTCACCATCACGGCCATTTTCAAGTACACAATTCAGTGGCATTTAGTGCATTCAAAATGTTGTGCAACCATCACCACGATCTACCAGAGCATGTGTTTTTTAAAGCAAGGTGTGACATGCTCAGACTTTTTTGACTCAGAAAGACTATTCTGGAAGTAGTGGGGAGGATGGGTCCGCAGAGTGGCAGAGGGAAATGGCAGGTGGGAAAAGGATGCTGAAGGTCGATGGGACAGGTGTGCCAAGGCTCTGAGCCAGGGCGGGAGCTGCAGGGGTGGGGGATTCAAGAAGGTTGAAATGACGGGACTTCATGTGCTGTGTGGACAGGCCACCAGGGAGCAGGGGACGTAGGAGATTCTTCCCTAACACGCCTTCCATGTGCATGAGGACAGGGACCATGTCTTCTATACTATTTCAATTTGCACACCCGTAATATGTGCTGTGCAATGAGTGTTTGTTCACGGAATCCGGAAATGTCTGGGTAAGAATATGCATTTAGGGCAAAAGTATTAAATGGGATTGAGAATTCCTTTATACTAAAATAATGGCAAAGACAAATCAAAAATCTTTTCTCATGCAGAGAGCCAAGGCAACAAAAATTCCCTGTCCACATTATCAGAAAAAAATTTAAAGAATAAAATAAGATACCGAAATTAACATTAAAAGTATCAGTTTCTAATTAATCAGGTAGACTTAAATAAAAATAATAGGCAATTCATTGATATTGTATTCCTTATAATCTTTTTTAAATCTAAAAACAAAAACTCAGTATATACAGAGACACAGATCAATTACCAGTGAGTAAAAAGATAAAACTATAAGGAGAGGCTAAGAAAATGCTTCATTATTTATTAAAGGTGAGGGGAAATGAATATTAACCTATTAAGCTTCCATGATAAGGATTTTTTTCATGATAAGAAATTTAAAAAAAAGAAAATGAAAATTCACCAGAAATTAGAAGTAAATGACACAAACAAAAGCAGAAATAATGAATTAGCAAACGTGGTAAATTTAATAAATACATCCTAAAACTGCATCTTGGGGTGAGTGAACAGGGTCAAGTCATCTCACATTGAAAGCTATCTCAAAAAATCATGACAGATTTGAATTGTTATTAATAGAAACCTTCTGTAAGTCAATTCTTAAAACCTCAAAACGAAAAGCAAATAACCAACACGGTAAATATATCTGCAACAAATTTAACAGGGGTTTTTAAAAAGACCCTCTTATTTAGAAAACACCAGTGGTTGGTTCTGGGGGGAGGAGGATGTCATGACTGCAATGGGGCCCATGGATAGTCCATTGGGGGGCATCCGGCAAACTCTTACTTCTTGCCCAAGTGGGCTAGCCTCATAATAACTCATAAAGCCACATTTTTTATCTGTGTGGTTTTTCTGTTTCCGCTTTATGTTAAAAATATTAAAATAAAAGGGAAGAAGCCTAAAACCCCAAAGGTAAACAGTACTTTCAGACAAGGAAAAAAAAAAAAAAAGCAGCTAGCTAATAAAGATAAAGAGATTTGGTCTTATTTGTAATCAAAATAATTCGAAATAAAACCTCAGTATTGTACCACAGTTGAAAATATGTTGCCCAGTGCTAGTGAATGGGCGTCAAAATGAGTCCCTCCTACATACCAATTTGCACCGGCTTAAAAAACCAATTAAGCAATGCGTATCAAGAGTAGTAAATGTTCCCGTATATTTAGCCTGATAACTCCTAGCAACAGAGCCTTGGAAACATGGTGAGTCCTGGAATCCCCCAAGCCTCCCAACTTCACATATACCATCATCCTAGCTTTCCTCCAAGGAGGTGGCATGGGATACCAGTCCTCAAAGATTGTGCTGAGCACCTACCGGAAGTCAACCCTTTCATGATACCCTCCAGTTCTCAGAAACCCCCCTCACTCGATCCACCCCATAACCTTGGAAGCAGCCATGTCCATACCATGTGACCCCAGACCACAGATGTTAGTGCCGGGCTGGGCATCCGGCAGATGCTGAGCTGAGCCGGGAGGAGGGACAGAGCCCACTTAACACCCCAAAACACCTGGCTGGTGTCTTAAACAGGGATGTACAACCCAGACAGAGGGTGGGCTGCTACCTTCCAGCATGGTGGCTATAGGAGTAGAGGATGCAGGTCAAGGGTGAGGGGAGAACAGAGCTGGCTCAAAGGGAAAAGCACAGATGAGCACGAGGCAAGACTCCCTGGTGGGGATCCTTGGATACACATCATTATCACCAAGGCCAATCTGCTTCATTAAACTTAAGCCAAGCTCTGGGGGGATTCTGTTGTTTGCAGTCAAACCCGGGGATGCTGATATCTGGATTGGTGAAGAAAAACAGATTCCTCCACAGTAAACAGGCTTCTTTACTGCAGGGCTTCTCACAGATTTTAACATGATCATGTGTGTTAAGAATATTCAAGAAGAGAAAAAAAAGCATTTCCCAAACTTATTGGACCCCAGAAGTCCTTTTTCATGGAATATTTATTTTCTCACTCATCAAATATTTACTGAGAGCTTCCTATGCGTGAGCACCATTCTAGAAGTTGGAGATACAGCTGTGAACAAGGAAGGAAGGATGCTTGTCTACATTCTACTGGGAATAAGCCATAAGTGAGTAAGTAAGTAAGGTAATTTCAGGCAGAGATGAGAGCTAGGAAGAAATTAAACAGGCGGGTGAATTTTTTTAAAGTTTCACAAAAGTTCTGCAGTGACTCTGTCTCTCTCCCAAGAGGCAGAGTCTATTTCCCCACTCCTCGAACTCGGGCTGGTCTGGAGACTTGCACTGACCCAGGGCATGAGACTTGCACTGACCCAGGGCATGAGGCTCTAAGCCACGCCTCGGGGCGTCACGCTCACCTTGGATCCCCGCGTGAAGAGGCTCGGGAGACCCTCTGGAGGACAGGACATGGAGATGTACGTTTGGTTTATCCATTCACCCATCAAGGGACAAGTGAGTTGGTTCCAGCTTTGGCCTGTTGTGCCTAAGGCTGCTATGAACATGGGTGTACAAATATCTCCAAATCCTTGCCTTCAAGTCTTCTGGATAAATACCCAGAAGTAGAGTTGCTGGATCACAGGGTCCTTCTATTTTGAATTTTTTAAGGACCCTCCAGGGTGCATTCCTACCAATGGTGCCCCAGGGCTCCCATCCCCCGACACGCTTATCAACACTCGGTATTTTCAGTTTTTTGGGTAACAGCCCTTCTAATGGGGGTGAGGTGGTATCTTACTGTGGTTTTAACAGTGGCTGTTTTCAGCCACTGGGTTTTGGAGTGGTTTGTTATAAAACACAGAGGCTAACGGATACAGAAATCTTTGCCTAGAGGTCAGGTGTCGCAGTGGCCAAAATCTAACACGTGTCGCTGGCCTTGGGACTGGGTAGTGGGTGGATGGCAGAACAGTCCTGAGGAAACTGGAGGCCAAAGGCTGGGAAAAACAGCCAACACACTGTTAGTGGAGGGTGGGAAAGGGGCCACTCTTACTAGGCAGCAGCAACACAAGAGGAAAAAATTGCCACTTGTGATAATGTCCTCAGAGAATTTGCAAATCTGCCTAAAGTGACTTCCATGAAGAACGTAATTAAGTGCCCAAGCTGAGTATGATGAAGCACCAGAAGACAGACATCAAATAGGACCGGAGAGACAAGGATCGGTTCAGTTTGCAAGCGGAACTGAGTAGACACGCAGGACTGCTTCTCATCTCTACTCTTGCCAACCCACAAACAGTTCTCAAAGGAAAAAATGACCTCAGGGTAAAAACTAAATCAAGGGTGTGCCCAGAACTCTTTGTTAAGACCTCCTAAAAACCCAAGGTGGTGCCCAGTAAACTTCCTTGGGCAGACAAAAGGGCTTCCAAGAATCTTAAAGGTGTCACCACATGGCACACACCAACAGTCACCTAAAGAAGCTTGTCTTTAGGTGTTTGTTTGGTGGAGTGAACTATAATGTGATCCACTGGAAACCCACAATGTTTTTAAGAAAACTGTACCCTCTTTGACTAAGAGAGACTGAACCTATTCAGAAGGAAAGGGGGCCTCTGGCCACCAACTTTCTATGGGTAAGAAAAAGGCTGAGACAGGTGCTTTGCTGCAAACATGGGCCATCTTCATGGAAAGTGAACTCTATTTTCAATGGTCAAGCCAAGAGTCCCCAGAGTAGAGCTGGAGCTATGTAAGCACTAGTTTAGCACAGGGGACAGGAAGCTTTTCTGTAAAGGGCCAGAGAGTAAATCTTTTAGACTTTGTGGGCCACATGTAGTTTCTGTTACATATTCTTTGTTTTCTGGTCATTGTTGTTTTTGTTTGGTTTGTTTTGTTTTGAAAAACCCTTAAGAATGTAAAAACATTCTTGGTTGATGAGCTGCACAGAAACAGGCCACGGGCCATATTTGGCCCACAGATTGGTGTTTGCCAACCCCTGAACTTGGGCACTACTCCCAAGGAGAAAGACTGGCCCTGACAAAGGAATATTCTCTACCCCCAGAGGTCTGCCCGGCAATATGTGTCCAGCTGGATTCCCGAATTTCTAGGGGGTTATGACCATGTGTCACTCGCTTTCTCTCTTTTCAAATGGG